AACTCCAGGCAAGGGTTCCCACTTGTGAGTCCTGAGTGGAGGGGAGCATCAGCCTCCAGCCCAGAGTTAGGCACCTAATTCCCTTTGAGAGGTGGGGCTTAGGCCACATCCCTCTTCTTGGCATTTCCTAGTGGCTAGTTTAGGCAGCTCCCTACTCAGCATATGCTGGCTTCTGAGGATTCCTTTCTGGGCACTTATCTCTCTCTCTCTTCCGGTATTGTGTAGAGAGTCTGGGCACCTAAGAGCTATGGGCTGTGGATTCCACTCGGCAGCAAGGCACCTAAATGTTAGGCATTGCAGTGCCAAATCTAAGTTCCCTTTGTGGAGCTAACCTGAACTGTGTGCAAATGAAAGGAGGCAAAGATGTCCAATGAGAAATTAGCAAGTAATAAAGTGTCAATGATTTTGAACAACCTTCAGCTAATTTTCCATTGGTTCCTATCATGATTCTACATAAATCTCTTTTGTATCCAGTAACTCGGGTGATACCATTTGAGGTATCTAAAGCATCATTGGGGTCCAAGGAAACAATGTAATTATTTTTTCAGGCAGATAGACACAGTAAGGAGACTACTGGAATAGACCATAAATACCACCATGTTTACTGATTGTCCAAATTAAACCGGAGTCATTCAGTTCATCTCTGGACACAAAATCCCAAGCACAGCTTCAAAGCCAACTGTAAAGCTTCCTTCCAGATTTCAGTTCCTATGTGGAAGTGAACCAAAATTATCAAATGTCTGGAACACTGGATCATCCATAGCAGTTCTCTTAAGAGTGGCAGAAATACAAACACTTTGCAAAACACTGAGGATTTTTTTTAAGCTTTAGAGAGCCAATGACACCAGGACCAAGTACAAATTAATATGCCTGAGAAAATTAATCCTGTTGCAAGACCTAATAATAGTAGCAGGAAACATGACAGTAGAAATGCTAATAACAACAACTTACAGTTATACCTTTCACTAGCTGATTTCCAGGGCCCTGATTCTGATAGCCCTACTCATGCTGAAGAGTACTTTACACCATGAGTAGTCCTGTTTAAGTTAATACAGAGTAAGGTACTACTCAACCTTAGTAAGGTGGCAGACACTGATCCTATTTAATTAAGCCTCACAACATCCCTGATTAGACATAATTATCTCTGACTCACAGATGGGGAAACTCACGGGGGAGGATAGCTCAGTGGTTTGAGCATTGGCCAGGGTTGTGAGTTCAATCCTTGAGGGGGCCACTTAGGATCTGGGGCAAAATCAGTACTTGGTCCTACTAGTGAAAGCAGGGGGCTGGACTTGATGACCTTTCAGGGTTCCTTCCAGTTCTATGAGATAGGTATATTAAACTGAAGCACAGGGAAATGAAGTGACTTGCCCAGCATGTCAGTGCTAACGCTGGGTAGAGAACCCTAAAACTTCCAATTCCAGTTCCCCACTCCAGTCACTGTAAAACATTTCCTCCACATTCTCACATTGTGTTACCCCAGTTCTTCTGATCTTTGCTGGAGATGTCTGACTGGCTGAGAGAAGGAACCAAAACAGAAAGCCAGAGAAAAACAACTAAGGCAAAATTGGAAGTGGGTTAAACCAAGATGAGGAGTTCTATCATTTAATTCTATTTGAACATTAAAACTAAAGCAAAATGAAAGCTCTGCCAGAACTCCGCAGACAGCTAGTTTAATATGCAAACACAGTTTTCTCACAATAATTAGCTTCTTTTGTACTGATCTTGTAAAGTGCAACAATATATTAATTGAATACAGTATGATAACCTCGAATGTGAAGCTTTAATTTGTTGCAGTAGAAATACTGACAAAACAAGTGAAGCCACATTTGTCAGCGTAACAAAAAGTCATCCAAGCCTTTCAATATGAAAATGGTTATTGACCTTCATAGTTAATTTATTGACCCCAAATAGTTAAATAACTTCAAATGAGAAATCAAGTAGTCAGGAGCGGCACCAGGGTTTTTGCTGCCCTAGGCGGCAGCGCTCCTCCTCACAGCATTCGGCGGCGGGGGTCCTTCCGCTCCGTGTCTTCGGGGTGCTTCGGCGGCGGGTCCCGGAGCGAGTGAAGGACCCACCGCCAAAGCGCCCCGAAGACGTGGAGCAGAAGGACCCCTGCTGCCGAATTGCCACCGAGGACCGCAAAATGCCGCTCCCAAATCCTGCCGCCCTAGACGACCGCCTAGTGTTGCCTAGTGGAAGCACCGGCCCTGCAAGTAGTTATATTTGGACCAATTGAGCTACACCATGCTATTTCCATTAGGAAAGGAAATTATTGTCCCACTCCAGCTGCCTCGTAGTACCGCCTGGCACGTATTGCCTTATCGGGAAGGAAGGCCCTTCTCACAATGCAGGAATGAGACTGTGACCAGTCCTTCTAAAGGACACAAGAAAAAGGAGTTTGCCCTAAGGTAGTGATCCCGGTTATATCTAAATATATTACTGAGTTGCACATCAACACTTCTTGTGAACTGCTAAAAAGAAGGCAAAAGTCCTTGCCCAAATACTGTATTTTTTCTTGACTTCTGTAAAAACTGCTTTTTTAAACAACATATATTTGTCCTATAATCCCAGGGAAGTGGGACAGCACAGATATCTACTTCCTGAGTGTAATAAAACTGTGGACCATCTGATAGTGATTTGTCTATAGAGAGGGAAAGCCCAGTGCTATAGTGCTCCATCACCTGCAGACACATCTTCTTGAGCTCAATCTTGTGAGATATCGTAAGTAAATAAGGTCAGGCTATGTCAGTACTTGGTTAGGAGACATCCAGGAATTGCAGGGGTGATTTTGGTCCTGATTCAGCAGTGAACTTAAGCACATGCCTAACTTTAATCATGTGAGCAGTCTCATTGGTTTCAAGTTAAGCACATGATTAAAAACCTTCCTAAATTAGGGCCTCAAAAAGTGTCAGTCTTACTCCGCTCCACCAAGACTGTATTGAACCAACACCCATTATGGTGTTAAGGGACACTGTGCTATTGACGGTGTTATCTTTTGAAAAAAAAGTAAAATAAAGGCCCTGGCCACTTGTCATCTTTGATAATTAAGGCCTTAACAAATTCACAGCCATGAAAAATGCATCACGGACCGTTAAATCTGGTCTTCCTCTGTGAAATTTGGTCTCTTGTGTGCTTTTACCCTATACAGATTTCATAGGGCAGACTTGGGTTTCTCAAATTGGGGGTCCTCATCTGTAGCAGATCGCAGACTCACTGGTGCAGTGCCTCCTGCTGGTCATCTTGGGAATTAGCTCAACTCCAGCTCCGGAGAGCCCTCTGCTGGCCGATGTCTTGCCTGCCTCAGGCCCCACGTCCCTCCCAGACCCCGGTGCCCCTTTACCTCGGGGTTATGCCCCAGCAGTACCCCCACTCTCTGGGTCTCCCCTCCCAGGGGAACCCCCAACCCCCTATGCCCACCTTGCCTCAGTGGCTACTGCCAGTCATCATTTAGCCCCCTTTCTCTGGGGCAGACTGCAGTCTGTAATCCACTCATCACTGGCAAGGGGATAGGAAAGAGGGGGGCAAACTTTTTGGCCTGAGGGCCACATCGAGGTTCCGAAACTGTATGGAGGGCCGGGTAGGTAAGGCTGTGCCTCCCCAAACAGCCTGGCCCCTGCCCCCTCCCACTTCCTACCCCCTGATTGCCCCCCTCATAATACCTGACCCATCCAACTCCCCCTGCTCCTTGTCCCCTGAACGCCCCCTCCTGGGACCTCCTGTCCCTAACCGTCCCCCCACGGGACCCCACTCCCTATCAAACCCCTCTTGTCCCCTGTACCCTGACTGCCCAGACCTCTATCCACACCCCCGCCCCTGACAGGCCCCCCCAGAACCCCCATGCCTATTGAACCACTCCCTGCTCCCTGACCCCTGAGTGCCCTCCCTGGGGATCCCCTGCCCCTTATCCAACCCCCGCTCCCCACCTCCTTACCATGCCGCTCAGATGATCAGGACTGGCAGCCGCACCGCCTGGCCAGAATAGCCACACCGCCGCGCAGTCTAGAGCACCGGGGCAGGCCGGCAGCTCTTGCAGCCGCGCCGCCCAGCAGGAGCTCACAGCCCCGCCTCCCAGATCACTGGTGGCACAGCGAGCTGAGGCTGTGGGGGGGAAGAGGGGGACAGCAGGGGAGAAGCCGGGGGCTAGCCTTCCCAGCCAGGAGCTCAAGGGCCAGGCAGGACAGTCCCGCGGGCCCATCTCTGGGTAGGGCCTGCTGCCTTTGCCTTTGCCTATCCCTGGGCTGCCCCTCTGCAGCCCCAGTACCTCTGTAGGCCTTCACCAAGGCCTGCAGCCTAGGGGTTTACCAGGCTGGAGCTCCCCAGCTCCTCTTGCCCTTACCCAGCACTGCTCTACTTTAGGTACCTTGCTCCCAGGCAGCCAGCCCTTCCCACTCCAGGGATAGAGTGATACTGCCCCTACTCCTGGCCCCCAGCCCTCTTATCAGGGCCAGCTGGGTCCTAATTGGGTGTGGCCCCAGCTGTGGATGCTTCCCCAATCAGCCCTTGTTCTGCTGGAGTGGGACAGCTGCCCCCACTACATGACCAAAAAGAGAGTTGCAGGGGGGGTCACAAGGTTATTTTAGGGGGGTTGCAGTATTGCCACCCTTACTTCTGTGCTAGGCATCTAAAGAGTGGCAGGCTTTTGGCCAGGTACCCAGTTCTGAAGGCGGTGCCCCGCCAGCAGCAGTGCAGAAGTAAGGGTGGCAATACCACTTTTGCCTTCAGAGCTGGGTGGCCAGAGAGCGGCGGCTGCTGACTGAGGGCCCAGCTCCGCAGGCAGCAGCACAGAAGTAAGGGTAGCAATACCATACCGTGCCATCCTTCCTTCTGCACTGCTGCTGCGCTGCTCTCCAGCTGCCCAGCTCTGAAGGCAGCACCACCACCACCAGCAGTGCAGAAATAAGGGTAGCAGTACCACAATACTACAATAACCTTGTGGCCATCCCACAACTCCTTTAAATAGCTGAAATCATGAAATTTATGACTTTTTAAATCCTATGACAGTGAAATTGACCAAAATGGACCATGAATTCGGTAAGGCCGTATTAATAATCCAATGGCATTTATCTTTCACAAAAGGGTTGTTAGCCCTGGTATCCTGGCCAAATTCCAATACAGGTCATTATATTATTCTTTTTCTTCAACACTTAGTAAGATAGTCGGCCATAGCAATCTTCGCCATTTGGACTGTTCCTGCGCAAATGTAAAGGCTTGACGGCCTGACAGTCCAACATCGGAACAGACTTGATGAACCCATGTAATAAGGGGTCTGCCTCTGGGCTGCCTCCACTCCTCGTTTGGTGGAATTTTATTCTGGATGTTACAAGCCACCCGGAGAACGGCGTTCGCTGAAACGTCTTGTGGCATCCTTGCGACATGTCCAAAAAGCGTAAGGCGCCGCCTGTGGACAATGGCCCCAGTAGTCCGTAGACCTTAGTGACCATAAACATCTGCATTACAGATTAAGTCATTCCACTTTATGCCCAATATATGATGTTGACATATTGTGACATTTATATATTAATTATATTCTCCCTATCTATAACACCTTCATGCTTGCAGATGGATATGGGATTCTTCGCTAAAGCAGGCTAAAAATTTTCCAACTGAACATATTTCCATCATAAATTCCATTTCATTGAAACTGAAACTTGTGAGGAGAATGTATCAATTTTGATTAAATTTCTTTGGAAAAAAAGAATTTAAATGAGGTTGAAATGTTCTGTTTTGCCACTTTCAGAATGGAATGTTTTAATTTTCCATTTCTAAATGACGTTTCATGTCAACATTTATTTTATATTATGAAAAGTTTAAAAACACTGAAAAAATTAAAGTCAAAATAAGATGTGTCAATTGACCTAAAACAACAACAAATCAAAAACTGTTTCACAACCAATGCCAACATTCTTTGTTTTATGTTCTGATTCTCATTCAGAACAAAAACAAATTCAGTTTTATAATTTCCTGTGAAATGGCAATTCTAGTTCCCATACAACTCTGCTCTTCACTTTTAATCCCAAACTGCAGTTGGTGTATTATTACTGTGCTCAGTTAAGCAAAGTGCCGTGTATCCCACACGAAGGGTGTTACATTTCAATGGTGGTGGCTAAATTCCACATACTGGGCCAAAGTCATATTGACTTTTTTTTCTTAAAATGCATAAAAGTATTGATCACTCTGTGCGTGCATTACTATTAACTTTTTTTAAATAGCATACATTATTTCCTGAATGTCAATATTAAAAGACAGTCACACACCCCTTAACTTTATACCACCCCAGCAATCATGCTCTCAAGGAAAAGATCTCAAAGATCATACCTAGGTTCTAATGGAAAAATGAGGGAAGCAAATTCCAGAACCAAGGCTCCCCCCTAAGAATATCCCATTCTTTGGCCCCAACCATTCAAATCCAAGACTGTGAGCAAAACTTCCCACTTGACCTTGATTGCTATAGTAGCCTAAGGGGGAGAGACTGTCCCCCAGGTTACCAGACTCCAAACTATATAGGGCTTTATAAGTCAATGTCAACACTTGAAATTGCATCTGAAAGCAAATATGAAGTGAGTGGGTAACACTGCTAAACATCCTTATTCTGCATTAGCTTCTGGATGGTCTTCTAAGGTATCCCTGCATAGAATGCATTGCTATAAATGGGAAAGTGAGGCTGGTCATATGGTTAAGACATGTCTGAGCCTCAGGAGATGTGAGTTCTGGTGTTGGTCCTACCACAGAAATACTTAGGGGCTGAGGTCCTCTATGTGTCTGAAAATATGTCTCAGTTGGTGCACTCAAAAATTCAACTAGGAAAATGTTGGCTTCAACATCTGTCATTTCAATTTTTCTATAGGTAAAATGGGGATAATCATGCTTACCTACTTTGCAAGAGCAGTGGCAGGCTTAATTAATTAATATCTGCAGACAAGGGGTCTATGCTGATTTATACCAGCTGACAATATTGCCTTGACTATTCCCTTAGCTGTAACTGTTTTGAATTTTATAAAGCAGAAAGCAAATCTTTATTGTAATTGGTATTGTGATTTCAGTGGGAGTTAGGTGCCTAAGCACCTTTGTGAATCCCACCATTAGACTTTGCATAATCAGAATTGGGACTACAAAAATGTCTCTGTAATTATGATACTCCACATTAAAATCAATATGACAAGACTGTAGAGGACAGAGATATTTACACAGTGAGAGAGAGAAAGAGCATGCTCAGGCCTGGGAACCAGGAAATCTAAGTTCTAGTTCTGACTTTGTTACTTTCTCCATCTGTGACTTGGAGCAAGCCACTTATGTTTAATTTCGCCATTTAGTGCAAATCCTTCCGCACCATTTAAGCCTCACTTCAGAGCTGCACAGAATAGGGGGAAGCATTGGTGAAACACCCACACAGGGTGTCTCTGCATTAGCCAGTCAACACAGGCCGGTGAGATAATTCAGCTCTCTTTCTAGACACTGGGAGTGGACAACAGCCATGGGATCTTTGTTAATGTAGACAGAGTGGTGCAACTACCATGCAACTAGTGCAGAAGGGCTATGGGCAACAACCCTAGCACACACACTGTTTTAGAGCCTACAGGGGAGAAACAGGAGGGAGGGTCTGTTCTTCATCCATGTGCCCTGGCCATGGGTTATGGATGGATTTCATCTCCTTAACACCTTCTTCCTGCTTTTCATTCATATTAAAGGGTCTAATTGTGCACTCATAGAAGCCAATGGCAACACTCCCTTTGACTTCAATCGGTGCAGGATCAAGCCCAAAGATCAATTACTTTATGCAGCTTTATGCCGGTGAAGTGAGTTTCACCTTTAAAGCCTGTGTATGTACATTGAAATCAAAGAGAGTTTTATTACTGGCTTCAATAGATGCCTGTCTCAGGTCCCTCCCTTTCTCTGACTTAGTATCCCTTTATCTAAAATGGAGGTTGCAACGCTTGCATACCTTGCAATAGAGTGCTGAGGATTAATTAGCTATTTCAGTTAGTGAGTTTGATGCTTCCAGCTTCAGTTTGGTTGAAATGTCAAGAAATGCAGAGTACTGGACCCTGCATATTTTTCAAAAACAAGAAGAAATGTGGGATGAAATCCTGGCCCCACTGAAGTCAATGGGTGTTTTGCCTTTGTCTTCAGTGGAGCCAAGATTTTATCCATAGCTTTCAGCTTTTCAAAAGCAGCTGAAAAAAAATGTCTTTAATAGAGGAATCTCTTTGATACTCCCCTTTCATTCTCCAATGTCATTTTTCAGATGGTTCACTTGAAACTATTGTATTAGCTGGCTATCAAGTTGAGAAGGGGTTTCTCTGAAGGCATTATCATATTTTAATAATTCCGGGAAGTTTTGCTAAATCATTACAAAAATTGTGCTCAGTAATGCGTGGCTCAGGCTTAGGCTTTATGGAGATCCACTTATATTAAATGATTGCTGCCATCCCAAATAAAAATGTTATTTTGACATCTTTCACCTTCATCATTGCAGTTTGCAGGTATCCTGAATCATCTTGGTGGTTTACATAACAAGATTATTATTTTTCATCTCATATGCTCTTTGTGTGTAAATGCCTAATTACTAATCAGAAATGCTCTTGGGCAGGGGACAAGATTTTCTTTTTTCAGTCAAAATTATAAAGTAGCATATTTCCAGAGGAACCAAATAATATGCAAGTCATGGAAAAGTATTGATTGCATAATAATGTGATGTCAACAGTGCAGAATAATCATGTTTGTAGGTTGGGCACAAGAGCCTTACATACATTATACAGCACAGGTTTTACTGTTGGTATGGAACTTATAAATTGAGAGTATGTAATTTTATAAAATAGAGCTTTATTCACACACTAAAACCTTTATATCAAACCATGGTAAAATGTTATGATCTTTTTCCTAGACTGATTAACAAAAAATACAGTGACTAGTATTAAATCTGAAGTGGATGACATTTAAGGTCATGAAAGGCAATCTTAGTGGCACCAAAATCTTTTAATCTTATTTGCAGATTATTTCATCAGTAGTTCCCCAGAGCTGGAAAAGGATTTTATTCTCATATCTTTATAATTTAATTGAATATTGAAAGTGCAACATACCATAAATTGCTCTTAATTCTAAAAAGTACCTTTTCATCTCTATCTTAGCACACAGAAAAGAATAAGATTACATGAACAAGATTACTATAGCCCCATAAATATGCAGATCCAAATTCAGCAGTGGTGTAAAGATTTGTGTAATATCATGGTTGGGTGTAATTAGGAAGAAAATGGCTGTAAATGGCAAAGTCATGTAACTTTTATCAATTTCAAATTCAGTGGAGGTGCAAAATGAATACAACTTACACCAATTTACTTTTGGGCAAAAATCAAATTCAGCCCTGACATGAGTGGGTGCAATTCCAGTGGAAGTGAGAAGGTCAAATTCATCAATGGGGAAAAGCCAATGAATTCAATTCATTACACCAGGAATAAATTTGGTGCAGTGCGAAAGTTGTGGAAAGTACCAGCATAAGGCAAACCAGAGGTCTGTTTTACTTTATTATCAGTGGTTCCCAAACTGTGAGTCGGGACTCCAAAGTGCCAGGGCTGGCTTAGACTTGCTGTGGCCTGGGACTGAAGCCCGAACCCCACTGCCCAGGACTGAAGCCAAAGCCCGAGGGCTTCAGCCCTGGGCGGCAGGACTCAGGTTGCAGACTCCCTGCCTGGGGCTGAAGCCTTGAGCTTCAGCTTTGGCCCCCCTACCCAGACAGTGGGGCTCGGGCTTTCCACACACACACACACACACACGGGGCAGTGGGGCTTGGGTAGGCTCAGGTTTTGGTCCTAGGGTTGTGAAGTTTGAAAACCCCTACTTTACCTTATCCTGTCACTTGCTTCTTGTGCAACATCCTGTCCCCTTTGCCCCTTTTAGGGTGAAAGATACTCTGGTTTTTCACATCTACTCAGTGAAAAACCAGTGCAAGTTACATTACTCTGCCAATTACTGCCACCTTGTTTATGACTGGCTTATACTAGACATCCAAGCCTGAGACAGGTTTCATAGCAGTGGCCCTAACAGTGAATCCAGAAACAGCTTCAGGCATGGTTCTTCACAGCCCCATTGCCCAAAGAGCACAAGGTAGAGGGAGAGGTAAGACAGAGTAGGAGAGGTTAGGGATGAGTAGAGTGTGCACTTCATCAATTACCTTCTGGGGAATCCACAGGCTAGGTAGTTAATGCAGTCATTTAACTTTTCTGCAGCGCCCTTTTGTGTGGTGGAAACCCCCTTTGAGTTTTAGGGGGCAGCAGTCAATGGGGAAAACCAGACAGTGCAATTCCATTGATGCTCCACCACCAAGGAGCCTGAGGAAGTGGCAGGAGGCTTTGGAGCTATTGTGGAGGAACAGGGACTCAGTGCATCTCCATGATTCATAAGTTCTGGAGTCTGAGCCCCCTGTACGTGCAAACCCAAAAGGCCCTGGCAGAATGATCGGGAGAAAATTCTGCAAAGGAACCTCATACAATGTTCCTCTCCCACTGCCCCTTTCCAGGGTTTTTTCCACAGGACTTACAGCCTGGTCCATTTATTTACTGTCCATTACATAGCTATATCCAGTAGGTATTTATAGAGCATCAATCGCACACAGTCTTGCCTAATGACTGATATTAGCATGATGTGGCAAATACAAAATGATAGGGAACAAAGTACATCTATCTGCTACCATCTCTCCTATCCTAGTTGTGACTGTTATGATTACGTGGATCTCAAAAACACACACATAACTCCACAACCTTACACGTGTCACGTGCATTACAACATCTTGCAATGAGGCTTACAGCACTTTGTGGCATGGAGCACATGTCTACTTGACAAAAGTAAATACCCACAACAAGCTGGGTCTTTGGCTGTGATATACCACACACAGGCTGTGGTCTGGCTCTATGAACAAAACAGCATGGCCTAGCTTTCACTTCACTGACAGGAATGCCTGAGATCACAAAATGCTGCAGTCCATGCTCAGAAATTATATAAGTAATTTCCGTTCATTTTATTTATTTATTGGCTTTTCTATGGTCCCCACAGCTGTAGTATCTTAGCATCTCACAGTAAACATTAATGAATTCATTTCCATTTTACAAATGTGGAGCATGGAACACAGAAGAGTTAAGTGACTTGCCCCAGATGGAGTCTGTAGCACAGACAGAAAGGAAGCTATAGCCTTCCCCCTCCCCTGCATTCTCAGGATAGTGCCTTAACCACAAAAGCAATCTTCCCTTTCAAAGCACAGTTTTGTTCCCACCCCCAAGTAGTGTCCTGAACAACTAAACAAAATGAAGATTATTTCTAAAACAATAACGTGCATTGAGTTGTACTCAGATGAGTTACTACATTAAAATAGTATTGATCTTAGGTTGCCATAAAGGAAGATCTGTATAGATGTAATCCACACTTTTCCAGAGAACAAAGATGAATATATACATTGTTCCATTGGATCGGGACAGTAGCCTATCTAGTTTGGTGTCCTATCTGTGACACTGGCCAGCATCAGATGCTTCAGAGGAATGCAAGAAACTCCACTAATAGAATTTATATTTATAGAATAACCTGCCCACAGGTGAAATTTCTTCCTAACGCCAGGTGATTAGTGATTGGTCTCTGACGTGAAGCAAGCGTGTTTACATCCCTTATCATTTTTGTTAATCCTATCTTACATAACTGTGAATGTTCCTGTTATTCATGTAAATGGCTGGACATTTATCACAGATCCACATAGTGGAACAGACTCAGATCTAAGAGTTCTGATTCCAGAATCTGGCCCAGTATCTCTGAGGGCTGGATTTTGCATTTGGAAATTGTGCACATGAAATTTCGTACAGCTGCAATTGATTTCTTTTTGGGGTGGGGGGGGAAGCATGTGTTGGGTTAAAATCTCCCACCATGGGGAAGAACCACCCCCCTTCTATTCCACCACAGATGCCCTATTGCACCTTTGGGAGAAAAATATAGCACAGCTACTTTTATGGGCAGAGGCTGCAACCAGTCTCTCTAATTCTTAGACTGATTGATTTTGCATAAAGAATGTTTTTGCATGTTTGAATGTTCATTTGAAATCAAGCTGTGTGTGTGTATGTGAGAGAGAAATGTCACATGCATTCTTTCTCTCTATCATGTTACAAGGAGATTATATATAAATATTTGTAATATGTGTATAGCTATGTACATACAATAGGTACACACACACTGAATATATAGATAGCTACAGATAGTACGAGCAGAGGACATATTCCAAACTGGGAAGTCAAACCGTACCTTTATCCTCACAAAAGAGAGTAAGAATAGGTTTGTTCTGCAACTACATTCTCTGTGTAAGCAGACAGAGGCAGACAGGATGATTGACTGATCAATTGATTTTGATCACAATAATGGCCGAGATTTTGCTATAATGGCCAAAATCACAGGATGAGAGAGCATTATTGCACTGTTTAAGTAAATGTTCACAATCCAAAGGTGATACTTTATCAATTTTGTCTGAAAAAGTCCACCATTTTATACCTTTAACTGACAAAAAAACAGAAAGTCAATACTACTGCTGCCATTTTGTTTTACCTTGAATGAAAGTGTTGTCAGGTGACATTAGTGAAAGAATGGAATACACATACGTGGAAAGGTGCACTATTGTATAGCTACATTATGTGCCGTTCAAAATAAAAAAAATATTATTTGACTCACTGTCAACCAGCAAAGGTCTTTAAAAGCAAAAGAGCTTTTTCAACTATACTTTTTTTTTTTTGCTTTTATATTTACTTTTGCTGGCTGTATGGCCTGAAGAATTTGCAGACAGCAGAAAAACATTTCTAAAAAGTGCTCACCAAACTTTGGATGCATCAGAAAATAGGCAGTGCTTTGTAAAAATATCCTGTGACAAGAAAGAAAAGTTCTGATTCCCAAACCTCTTTTAACTTTCTCATTTTAAGGGCCTCCACCCTCTTTAACCTTTTGCAGAACACCATTCCCTTCCATACACACACACACACACTTCTTGAATTTGCTTTTTCTCTCAAGAAACCCAGCTTTGCCTTCTGTATAGCCTCATCTTCCTATGGTCTCTGTTCCACCTTCTTTTTGATGCCCACCCCTTTCTATTTCTGCTCTCTGTTCCACCTTCTTTTTGATGCCCACCCCTTTCTATTTCTGCTCAAATAGCTCCAGCTCCCCTCTCTATCCCTTCAACCTTCTTTTTTTTCCATTAGTAGGCCTTCTTTATCTACTACATACTACAGATGATAGGCCAAACTTTCAGCTTCCAGATGTGGTTCACTGCATTTCTTTCTGATGCCAATACTAGTCCAGGCTACAACTGTGAATTAATTCAGGTCACCTCCTGGTAAGGTATTTCCTGGGGAAACTCAGTATAACCTGTTATGAAAATTTGCATGAGCACTGCTAATTGGCTGAGCAGCATAAAAAGTGACACCACTAAAAATATAAAGGGGTTGCTTTTCACGGACAGGTGTCTTGAAAAAAAGTTCAATTCAGTTTAACCCACAAAGTTCAAATGGCTTCAGACTGTACTTGGAAGCTTTCTCCCATTCCTGCAAAACATGACACTATGGTTAACATTTAAAGAGTAACATCCTTATCTTCTGATTAGATGGTCTCCCTGTTTGGACTTCACAAAACGAATCAGGAATTAAATGTTCCTATTGCTCAATACCTAGAAACTTATTATCCTTTTTCACATCTGTAAGTGAGATACATTCCTATTCAGGTGTATGTATATTGGTGTACAGTCAAACCCAGCTAGCCACAATCACTTGGGAAATTCATGATCTTCAGTTTTTCGAAAGTAAGATTTAATCAACTATACTCAGGCCAGGCCACAACACTGGGTATCATTTAAACCTTTCAAATACTCAGACATACAGAAAAGCCATGCACAGTTTAACCAGATCTAACAGTGCAGGGGTAGTAGGGGTTGGGGGGAGGGGGCGTATGAAGCAGGATTTGTAAAATATGTAAGCATTTTTCCAAACACTTAAATTCCAGAAATTACAACATCTATCTAACAAAAAGCCAGAATAGGAAGTGGGAGAAGCTATTTCTTAATCAGGTGCTGCCTGTAACTAAGCAGAGTAATCTAATTTGCAAGTAGGTGACCTATATCTCTGGACATACCTGATTATTTATTCAACTAATCAAATTATATTGTGTCATTTGATGATAGGATGTTCACACTGCTGACACGATGTTATTTTTTGTTACCAGATAAGGCAAATTGATTCCAATCTATATTCCTTTTGTTAGTCATCAACTCTTACACCTAGACCTGCCAAGGGAAGCATGAATGCACTTTGTTAAGTTCAATAGCATACACAGCATTAGGTCATAGTAAAGATATGCATTGTTGAATAAAAACAGCGACCACCAGCACTTGATCAGCTTTGTCTACATACCAGCAGCTCAAGTGCCAAAGTACATTGCAGTACCTCTCTCACACAAGCAGGTCTGAGGGACTTGCACAGTTCTACCTCTTCTACTTGCTCTGCATCTGTATTAAGGGAAAGGGAAGAACAACATAAATTAGGGGCTGCATCTTCTTAGAAACCTCACTTTTGCCCACCTCTCAAGACCAACAGGCATTACAATGTTGGGAATAGCTATCCCTGTGCCTACTTGCAATACATCTTTTATAATGAATGTAAAGTGATATGTCACCACCAAGACCAGGTGCAAGTAACTTTTTTTTTTTGATTGACTGGTTTAATCCTCCAACAATATCTACTGAAAACGTCAATGAACAATGATTCGGAGGGATCCGCTCAGGGGGCTGGAGAGTGGTGTGTGTCCTGGAGGAGGGCCAGTACCGGAGGCCTCAAAGGACAAGGACATCGATATTTACAAGATTCTTTTGTCAGCTCAGTACGTTATTTAAGGAGGGGTGGGTGGGTAACGATTTAGTGGGAAGTAGGTGGGGGGGGGGCTTTGAAAATAAATAATTATGAGATGCTCCTCGTGCGGACTAAGCCCCCAACTCATTCGAGGGATGTGAGCTTAATAACAACCATTGTTGTCGCTGTTGTTGTTCCCCTCCTGGATGTTGGGGCGCTGACCTCTCCTACCTCAAAGCGGTGACGCTGGGCTGCTTTGGGGTGGGGGTGGTCTGTTGTCTGGACAGACAGACGTCTGCTGTAGGCTCCTATTGTCTAAGCTGCAGCAGGTCTTATCGCTGCCATCTCTGTGACCCTTAATGAGCTGCAGCCTCGGGTGGGAGCTTCCCTGCTTTTAGCGCCGCTGCCGCTGGCAGCAGCAGCAGCAGCTCCAGCGCGGAGCCCAAAAGCCCGGGCCAGTTCCCAGCGCTCACGAGAACGGTGGAGGCGAGAGGGAAGAAGGCAGCAGCTCCCCTTCCATCCTGGGCGGGCCAGAGTCCCTGCCCAGCCCGCCTCGGTGGGAGAGGGAGAGAGAGAAAGAGAAAACCCCGCTAGCCTTTTTGCCTTGGCTGCCTCGTCTCCAAAGCGCCCCGTTTAGCACAGGGATCCCGCGGCGACTCTCCGGGCTGAGCGATCCCGCGAGGAGAGAAACGGCCCTTCGGGAGAAGTTTGCTCCTGGGCTGGAGACAGAGTGCGAGGCGGCATTTGCCAAAGTTGGGCGAAGTTAGCGACGAGGGGGCAACGTACAAGGGGGAGCCGCAAGGAAACATGCGGTGCAGAGCACCGGGGGGAAGGAGGGATGGTACAAGGGCAGGCAGCAGGGAAACATATAGCACCAGGGATAAACATGCGGGGTGGGGGGATAACACAATATGGGTACAAAGGAACCCATGCAATGGGGTTACATACATAGGGAGAGCCCCTCTAAGGGCGGCAAGTCCAAAGAAGAAAACATACGGGTGCGATACCTATTAGGGAAGGCATCGAGGCAACGACCTCCGAGAGGGGGACACACAAGGAGAGACAGGAGGGGAAACATACACAAGGAGGAGGCAGGGAAATACCCGGTAACCACCGGACAAGTGCTTTTGCTTTGCTGTTTCACACGTATCTGGTACGGATTCAACGAGTGATTATTTCAAAGAGCAAGTTCGGGTATTTCAGGCGCCAGAAGGAGGGTTTTAATTCGTCCCACTCCATAGACCACTGCGATCTTTTTTTTCTTCCCCTTTCTTTCTTTCCCCTTCTCCGTTAAAAGAATGAATGAATTTGTGGCCAGGCAAATCTGATGTGACTTTTCTCTCTTTCTCTCTCTGCGTATGTCATAATAATTGAATGATTTCATATTTTCATGTCGAAAATAAGAGCAGATATAAAATTGCAGCCGGCAATTAGCTCAGATTTGCTTTCTTTTCTTTTTTCTTTTTTAAGTTACATTCTGCATTTTTTAATCTCGCAGACGGTTTGAGCCAGGGCATTGCCACTTTTCTTTGCCTCTGAAATGTGGTTGTTCCTTTCGTGAAAGAATATCACAGATTTTAAAGAGCTTGCCCGTGGTATCAGCCGTCTCTCTCTCTCGCTAATCAGGAGATAATTCTCCATTAAGAACTGGGGCGGCTGGCCGAAATAAATAAAACTTGGTTGTTTTGATCATTGTCACACACACACACACCCTTCTAGTCTGAAAAGCGCAAACTTGCCTTGAAATGGCACTTCAGCTTTAATGCGAGTCTAACTAGCCCATTAAATATGATCAACATACCGTTTGCATGGAATGAAACCTTTCCCAGTCCTGATTGCTCCAAAGGGGAATCACGTCCTACCTCCCACCTTCCCAATCTTCATTCTCCCAGTGTACACACTCTTGTAATTACTGGTGATTGTGCTAATGCAACCCTGAGCAAAAGCATGCTGGTAGTCTGAACAGAGGAGCCGGGAAATACCGTTAATGTAAGGGAAATACACGTGGATTATGCTCTCTCTTTGACATGTTTGTACCTCTACCGACCCTGTAGATTCTGTGCATTGAACATAACACTTCATATCTGTCATCTAAAGAGCTCATTTCCGACTCTCATGTTGCGTCCTTAATTTTTTGTAAATGGATCACCAGGTGATCTGGGAAGAAATTATGTTTCTCTTTGAGAAACGGCGAAAGGAAAGAAAGTGGGGAAGGTGACTTGTTAGCATTGATTCTAAACAAGCAATACACTTTGGAATAATTTCTGCCGTGATTGTTTCTTACATAACTCCCTGCATCTAATGCAGACTAGTTCGCTCAGCAGAGAGTATAATATAACATCGGGCCTTCTGAGTTCTTAATTTCCCCTCCTGCAATAGAACAGGGCTTGAGGCGTGATCTGTAACTTCTTTGATCATCATTTGGTTTTCTTGTTAAGAGGTTGAACGGTTCTTTTCTTAACCAAATATTTTTTTTATTTGTTCAGATGACATCCACCTCTTCACCCTCCCCCCTTTTCTTTTCATCATCAGCAAATAAAGATTAGGTGGGCAGATTATAGAAAGCATTTTCAGTCTTGTGCTGATCTTTATTCCAGAGCCTTTGTGATGATATTGATGATGATGATGGTCAAGTGGACAGTTTGATTTTTGTGTTTGGAGCTAGTTATAAAGAATCAATATTATATCAAGGGGTAACTTTCGTGATAAAGGACTTTAACCACTCTGGCTATTCATCATAAGTCTGTAGCAAGCAGATAGGTCAAAAGAAATTATATTGCACTAAAGAGTGTGTCTTCTTATCTCTCCCATACCAGGGGAATAAGGGACAAGCCGATCGATACAGTAGCTGCTGTATACTTCTTGCAATTATCAATAGCTGATTTCGTCTTTTGAGGCCTGCATCTATTAATACAAGCTAATAATAATCTTCTGCGCATATCTATAGCCAAGGGGATAAAAGTTTTATACCTGACAGCACTATTTATAGTTACTAATATATAAGTTATACCATTTATATATGTATTCATCTGACTAGTCATTTTAAGTGGCATATAGCTTTGTACACAGATGAGTAAATATAAAGTAGGTTTATGTGCGTATTTACATATGTAGATGGTGTGTATATTACTGTATATATGCCTATAGCTAAATGTATACAGATCGTATGTATATTATATATACATGTACACATGGTATAAACGTGAGTGTTTACATAGTGTATATATACACACACACTGAATTTATGTTGCTGTGATAATGTATAGATATGTATGTACTTTATATATGTCCATGCTACTTAAAAATGGTTTGTTAAATTAATATCTCATCTATTAGGTTAAAGAACAAAAACTTATAGTAGTTGGGGTTTGCTAAGTGTGAGGATGAGGCTGAGTGTATATTAATCGATGTTTATTTAGATCTAAGAGTGGCATGATATTAAATAAAAGGGAAAGTAACTTAAATGTTTAAGGCAAAACGTTTAGGAACGATTGTGCAGTAGACTGGTTCTATAAATCTGACGGCGGAGCTCGTTGCTTTCTACAAAAAAATTGTAATAGAAAAGAAACATCTTTATAATTGACATTTGACATGCTGTTTGGGTTAGGCTGTGGTAGACCAAGCACAGATTTCGCTCTGATGGAAACATTTATCATCGTGATTGCTACAGAGTGGCAGGTGGTGTTATCAATTACCTCTTCTTACCAATAATAATATTAGTATGGTAATATCTTTGCTCAAGTGAGAACGAATTAGCGGTCAGTTGCTGCAGCCTTAAACACACAAAAGAGTGCTAGATTTAACCCCAAGATCCTAAAACAAAAGTTGGGGTGAAAGAGGGGAGAAGAGACTTCATACTGAAAGAAAGAATAAAAGATAATATAAAATAAAGTCCAGATAATTGAACGTCCCTTCCGAATAAAGTTGCTGAAGCAAATTTTAAAAATAACCAGCAACAGACTGATTGTACAAACTGTCAGATCCATCTTATCTATATGTGGGTTTCTTTGATAGGTTTATGAACACAAATCTTAAATATTTATATACATGCAGACGGAACTATGTATACTCTCATTGTGAAATCAATTTTGCAGATAAGCTTCGTTTTTTCCTGAATAAATGGTACAAATTAAAGCAAACACCTAATTATGCGTCCCATTAATGTAAAAACTACAATACTAATTGGTAAATAATATTATTAAGCAGACAAAATAATAACGTGTTGCTTCTTACGATGAAAACAACATTGCAAAGGGAAAGACAATTAACAAATTAGATTTAATTATAGAGGAGAAAAGCAACTTTTGTTTTTTCATCAGTATTAAAATATTTTAATAGACCCGCCAGTCATGTGGTTAAGAATATGAGTGTGTACCGGGTGTAGTCGTACATATATAATTGTATATACATGTATTTTATATACACATTTACATATTTCTATGCTTGAGTCTACTGTACTTATCTGTTCACACACACGTGCATAAAAGAAAGGGAGATTCTGTTAATCAGTTTCCCCTCCGAAGTGACCATATTTTTGCAGCCCAACTTCAGTAAATATGTTTTCATACTTCAGCGTGAAAGATTAAATAGGAGAATCGTGAAAAAGTTTCCATCTAATAAGGGAAGTGGGGGGAGGGGACCGAGAGATTAGAAACCACTTTATGATAACTTTAGACTTGCATTCCGAACCCTTTACATGTTTGGGTTGACATTGTTCACCTAAATCAGTTACAAAAGTTTCGCCTATATGATTTGCTCATTTACAAAACGTAGCGATCAAAGCACTCTGCTTTCTGATCTGAGGGGCATATGCAGGTGTGGGTTAAAAGTGATCATTTCACCAGAGTCTCGTCTGTCTGCTGAGCCACTCAACGAAACGTGAATGTAGCCTGGTCTTAAAACGACGCAGAGCCCTGCACCTTTGTACACTGCTTAAGTGTATCGCTTCTTAAAAAAAACCAACTCTATAAAATGTGTCACTTGTTGTAACCCTAGAATATGTAAATGTCAAGAGATACAAATCTGGTAATTATGCCTTTCTTGCCTTTGTGATCTCCATTGTTCATTAAATATTAAAGACTGGATTATTTAATTTTCCACTTAAAGTTTCTCTCACGTCTGGTAAAAGCATATTAAACTTTTTAAGCAGAAAACAAAGTACGTTCTCATAACATTCTCAAAGAATTGTTTTCTACGACAGGTTGTAAGCAATACAAATCCCATACAAGTCATCATTGAGCTACTGAGGAAGCTAAAAGACCTTGAGAAATAGCAAATGCTAAAGTTTAGGGAGAAAATGTTGATTGAGCAACAACAAAATCCCTTCCGAAGATGACGGGATGAAAATTGACACATTTCTGTTGCTACTGCAATGGGGCGGGGGGAGAGGGGGAATGCCTGTGCTAGGTTAAAGTGCAGCATCTCTGATTCCAGGCGAATGTTTTAGACACAGTCGGTAGCTGAGCTTTTTTCACCTAAAGCAAGTCTGTAGAAGTTTACCTCTGTGCCATCTGAAAGAGAAGATGTAAATAGAACATGTCCACCATTGCACTTTCTGAAGGCTACTTTAACACTCGCAGGCGATCGCTTTTGCCTGCATTGTATATATACGTGTGTGTGTGTGTAAAACTGTATTTGTGTGTGGTGTGTGCTATAGTCCCCTTCCTGTCGGTGGAAATACATTATGTTTAATAAGTGCTTAAGCTCCCTTCCCCTTCATATTGGAAAATTACATCAGATTTCAGTCCTCAATGTCGTTTCCAGACATTTTAGTTTCGAAACAGTCCGGGTGACAAACTTTCCGCCAAAGTGGCTCTGCGCAGAAAAGTTAGAGTTAGAATTTAGAGACTGCAAGAAGTATTGTATTTGTAAATGCAGAAGGCGCTAGAAAGGGGTCGACCTTTAAAATCACACGAATGGAGCGTAGAAAGCAAACAGACGTCTAACATTTAAAGCCATTTTTTTTGCCCTTTCTAGGTTGTTCTTTTAGGATGTGTTGAGGTCTTTAAAAAAACCAAACCAAAAACGAACAGCCAAAATACAAAAATCTCTAAAAGCTTGTGTGGCCATAAACTATCCAGACTGGCCTAACCTGGCGCCTTTAATTTATTTTGTTTTCCTACGTCAAAATGGCGAAGAAACCAAAAGCCGAGCGATAATATCATAATGCAAAAGATAAAAGAAACTTGCAGCATGGGAAGTTTACACTGAAGTCTCCCAAAAACGCCGGGGTTAGTGTATTTTAAGGACTACAACTGGGGGTGGAGGCGAAAAAGGACGGAGATTAGGAGGAAATCCATTTCACTGGTCTTAGTCTCAGTCTTCTCTGTCCCCAAACCCCTGCCCACGGCTTCCTTCTGTTTCATGCCAGGTGAGCTGTTGCTCTCGTGGTCCCAAACAAGGGGTCTGGGAAACTGTGAGAGCCACTAGAGCAAAACAAAAGAGGGATGGGGCGCAGAGCCGAGGGGCCTGATCTGTAAGTGATATTTAAGTAAGGAAGAAAAGGGGAGAAAGCAGAGCCAAAAAAACGCAAAC